AAGCGCTTCACCTACAAGTTCAACTTCAGCAAGCTCATCTTTGTCAACTACCCGCTCTGGGACCTGCGCTGCCCTGCGCCCCCGCTGCTGCTGGGAGCCGCCGGCATGTGCCGCCCCGCTGTGGTCTCCACTGGGCTGCAGAGCGAGGTAACCGCAGGCCGACAGGGAGTGGTTTACCCAGCCTAAGGTGGGTGTGGGCCCAGGCTGGGCTTGGGGCTGAGATGGTTTTGCTCCTTTCCTCGCTCCAGTTCCTACAGAACGTGCTCGTCACTCGCCGGGCACTGGCCGACCAGCTGGCCTGCCACCGCAGCCTGCAGGAGCCACTGGGTGCAGATGGCACAGGGGACAAGAAAGCTGTGGCCGGGGGAGCCCGTAAGTCCTGGGGGCGGGTGGGTGAATGGCTGAGCCAGGGGCATCATGCAGCCCATTTTGCTATGCTAAGAACAGGTCTGATGGCAAGTGGGGCTGGACGTGTGGAGACCTTGCACTGGAGCAATGCAGCCTGGGCATGCACACGTGCAAGAGCGCCTGCACACTGGCGCACGCTCGCCCTCACCTCCCATGCAAGGCTGGCACCTGCCAGTACATCGCAGGCCCTTGGGTGGGCACAGCCAGCTCCCCTCTGAGCTCATGGGCACTGGGGTGGCAGGGCTCAGACGTGCACGTGCCAGGATGGGCAAGGAAGGCACCCATGGCAAAGCTTTGCCTTGCTGCCGTGGCATGCAGGGGCCGCTGATGCCAACATGGGCCCCACGAGGTGGGAACTGGAAAGGCCTGCCTGCCTCCCACACCCTGATGTCAGCCGGGCCTGGCACAGGTGGCTACAGGTGCCTCCTGGAGAGCTGCCCAGGCTGGAATCTGCGCAGGCTCCCGCACCCAGGGTGCGGCTGGGAAATCACAGGAGGCTGCAGACAGGGAGGGACGGAGGGAGGCATCTGAAGCAGGGGCTGCGCTGACATCCTGCCAACATCCCTCCTTCCCAGGGCTCGGGCACGGGGACCAGGGCTGCTTGTCCCATGCAGCTCCTCCCGGCCTAGAACGGGGCCTGCAGGTGAAACCATGTCCGCGGCTGCAGCGGAGAGATCAGTGCCGCCCCGCTGCGCTCACCGTCTGAATGACTGAAGGGAGGGGAAGGGAAACAGGCACAAGGAGGGACCCAGTGGCTGCATGGGGGGCAGAACCCAAGTGTCCTGACTCTCGGTTTGGTGCCGGAGCAGGCTGCTGCCAGTCTTACGCCTCTCCCTGTCTCTCCGCAGGCTTTGGCTCCGTCCCTTCGCCCTGCTTCTTTGGCTCCTACTGCAGCCCAGGGGTGCAGGATGAGTTCCCCCACCTGGCTGCCTTCCCGCCCCCCAGGCTCGCCCCTAATGGCAGCCGCCAGCTCTGCTCGCCCAGCCACTGCCCCGTGCCCAGCCCGCCCGAATGGCCACGCTTCTCTGGCCATGTCTTCCCCCACAGCCAGGTGGTGCTGCCCCTGCCAGAGCACACCCAGCCCCATGGTCCCTTGGGGCTCCCCAAATCAGATGCCCTCTTGATGGGGGTCAGCTTCCTGCCCCCTCGGCTGCAGGGGCGAGCCTTCCCTGGGCATCCACTGGGCACCATGCAGGGGGCTGCAGAGAGGCTGCAGTTCCTGCCGGACCTGTCCCCGCCTGAAGAGGAGGAGAGGGAGGATGAGGAAGACCAGTGCCGAGCTCCTTCTGCAGAGCACAGCCAGGAGGTGAAGCCTGAGGTGGAGCTGGAGCTGGAGGGCACGGCTCTGGGCAAAGACACAACCTTCCTGGGTCCTGGAGGGGAGGGCGATAGCCCGTGTTACCCCTCCGAGCTGAGAGCCCCTGCGGGAGCTGCCCCCCACCTCCCCTGCCTGTCTGGCTTCAAGGCCACCTGGCCCTTGGACCCCACCTAAAATCAGTGCCCCGGTGCCGTGTCCCCCTGCCATTTTGCCCCTTCCTCCTGCCTGGCGATGCCCGAGCCTAGCCCCATGCCGCGTCTGCCTGTGAAGCGTGCACAGCTTGTCTCGTCTCATCTCGCCCTGTCTGTGTAAAGGATGAACCGGGCTGTGAGAATAAACCCAGTTTACAGACAACCGTCTCTCTGGCTCTGTCCCTGCCCCGTTCCCTTGTCGCGGGGGGTGGGACAGGACTGTACCCGGTGTTTTTTGTCCACATCACCTGCAAATACTGTCTTTGAGATGCTTCATCTGGCATCGAGGGGAGAGCTTATTCTAGGGATCTCTGGTTTGATGCTTTCCACTACATGAGCCAGGAGAGTGACCAAAAGGTACCATTGCTCTGAGGCAGTATAGCTCTGCTCGTGTTTTGATGTTCCCCTGTTTACTGGTGGATGCTTTGCCTGTGTCATCCAGCTGCCTAACGGGTTAGCACTTGCCTAGCTGCAGTGCTGAAGGGTCCGGGTCAGGAGCTGCACCCTGGAGCACCGGGGGCTGTACAGACACGGCCGTGACCCTGTGTTACAGGGAATCCCTTTCTTCTCGTGGGGGGTCTGAGCACCAGTGGCCTCCTCCGTTTCATTGTCCGGGATCATATTCTTGAAGCGGGTGGTGGTACCTGCAAGCAAGGCATAATGCGCAGGTCCCAAGCCAAGTGCTAGATCCTGACTTAACGAAGCTGGGCGAATTAATTGTCTGTGGCACGGGTGCCCCCTCATGGCCACCTCTGGTTTTAGCAGATGTTCCCCATGGCTCATGGTTCTGGTGGTGGGGCAGATACGCACCCTCTTTCCCCCACCCCGCTAGTAACCTCAGGGGTAGGGGCTGCGCAGGATGAACCGAGCAGGATGCGGCCCATGTAAGCCAGGGTGAGGTGGGCTGCAGGACACGGATGCTTGCACTTAGGGA